GCCCCTGTCCAGCTGCGATGAGTTACAAGCGCGTCCCACGACCAGGCGCCACCGGCCGGCGCGTTGGCTGGCTTACGACAGCGTACAAATGAGAAGCCTGAGTACCCGCAAGTTGGCTGGCTTAGCTTATCATTCTTGGCCTGACCTTGACCTGTCGTTCCTTCCGATCACGCAGCCGTCGACTCAGTCCATGCACTGGCCCATAACATTTCCAACAATCAGCTAACCACTTGCTCATGCTGGTACGGACGTGTGAGAACCACGTAAACAACGCACCGCTACTCACGCGCTCCCAAACGGTCATCTTGTCCTGACCCCAAAGCAAAGAACTCGCGGCGACGTGCCCTGTATACTGAATAAGTCGGCTTTCACAGCTCTCCGGTCGAGACGAACTTAACATTTGTGTGGTTGGCTTTGATCTCGTGGCCTTGGCCACCACAGTATCCTGTTTAGTTCTTAGTTTGGTGAGCCATTTACGCGTGTGTTCTTCCCATCGTCCGTCCTTGCCCCTACCGCACTCCTCCTCCTCCTCCTCCTCCTCCTCCTCCTCCTCCTCCTTCCTCTTCTTCTTATTTCTTATTATTCCTCTTTTCTTCTATTTTTGTCCTCTGAAAAACGGGCTATCTGCTTACTTCAGTTTATCAATAATAGTGAAAATGTGATTCTTATGTCACATGTCAAGAGGAAAGGCGCTCACTGTGCTAGGTATCTGGCGTTTTCTTTAGTGATTTCGCCCAACCACGTTAAGAGACTGGAAAATCATGCTCACACGCACTTTACTCGATGCACAGCCTGCCAATTCCGGCGGCAAAACTGCCTCCAACCGCATTTCACCGCGACCTTTGTCGCCTCCGATCTCGTTGGCCGCGGAGAAAATTGGCGCCCTTGATGCTTCTGCGCCGTGACTGTCCCCTGTCACGAAGTTTCACAAACGCAGATAAGGCAAAGTCAAGTTAACTTAGAGGTCGATGAGCACTTAGCGGATATCCGCGCCTCTTGCCCCTGTCTCGATGTGTGACCATCGCCTCGGCCCACACTTTCAACGGTATCAGAGTTAAAGATGTGCCCATGTGCGCGGCGTGTGTTGCTATATCCGGGCTTGGGTCCAATCTCCTCACGGCCCTGCATTCGCGATTGCAGCCGTCGGTCGGTTTCCCCAACGTCCGTGCACATCACGCGGCTGCACTTCAGTCGGTAGACAAGAGTCTTTAGGCCTTGTCACATGCGGGGAGGGGGGTGTTGAAGAAGACCTGTGGGGAGCTTCAATGGCAGGTGGCGCAAGGGATCTGGCCACGACTACAGAAACCCCCTTCAGGCATAAAATGCTCCGCCACGATTTCAAATAACTAAACCCCTCGTCCCACGTCCATTGTTGCATTCGACTCCGTCCAACGAACGCTCGCGAAAAATTTCCGTTCCGTCTCGTTTGGCTGATAGCGTGTTGCAGTGCGCTTCCACCCACCGGTATAGTTCCCGTACATTGCGGGTAGTTGCTCTTTCAACTGAGCATTTGCAGAGTGGTCGATGGTTTTCAGTAAACTAACATCGCGGGTTTGCCATCCGACTGTCGGCAGATGACAAGATTCAAGAGCGGAAGTCTGCCCCCCCCAATTTCTCTCCCATCATAAGCTATAGATTGAGTAGTATCAAATTCAACCCTTCTTATGGTAATCCGTCCTATGCCGGTGTCGTCAGCATATCGTGCCCACAACTTGGGTTCATACTCCTTGAACTGGGTCATGCTGAGTTTTCGCAGAACCGCCTCGACAATGAGCTCATACAAAAGTGAACGCATCGAGATGCCCTTAGGTTAAACACATTTGATCCCTTCAAAGGTGGCAAATGAGTTGAGGCAGCGGCCTATGAGTCCTAGGAGGTCCTGAGCTACGGGCTGGCCACCGTCCTCAACTTACATCTGACGCAGTAGATCAGGAGTGCTCTGACTGCAAACGCCTGTGGTATGTACGTGAATAGCGAGGTGACACCAAATGACACCATCCTCTCATTCGGTTCACTTGAGGGTAACCATCGGGAGATGGCACCCAAAAAAATCCGCATAACCAAAGCAGCCTGTCTTACGGGACAGGTGGTAATATGGGTTTTATGGGTCGTGGCTGGTCGGGATGTACAATCTTAGCCAACAGAAAGCCTTAGTTGAACAGATGAATGATCGACGTTGGCCCGTTCTCCGTTCCGTTATTACGAAATGGGTCGCCAAAGGCAGTATAATGGTAATGAAGGTGTGGAAGGTGTATAATCATCTTCCCTCAGAAATTTATCCACAGTTCTCTGTTAACCACTCAAAGAACTTCGAGGTCCCTACCACCGGACGGCACATCAATGCCATTGAGGCATACCGGAGTAGACTGAAAAGGAAACTCCACGAAGGAGGCCCTGTATGCGGTCGAGCTGTGTGGGCTCACGTAGACGAAGTACAGTATCGTCTTTAGTTTGGCCTCAGTGCCATGCCTTTGACAGATGCCTGGGAACTGTTGCGGTCCCATGTCGTGCGGACTTATCCTATTTACGAGTGTTTAAGTTTTGTAATAAACTGCCATAATGCGAAGGTATGCCGTATATTCAGGTGTACGTGTGTAACGATGATGAAGGTTGGGTAACAGCGGCCATTGTCCATGTAACCCCCTGCGATATTTGTTCGGCCAGCCCATGTTAGGCCGTCACGGAATGTCCAAGGGGTGCGTGAAAGTACGCCTGCAACCGCTGATCTAGCCTGAAGGCGTTTGAGTCCACTGTTAAAGGTATTATTTCTAGGTAACGGATTTGTTGGGTGCCATCTCCCGATTGTTACCCACTTGCGTTGGCGTTATTTCATCGAGGAATTGCTATCGTTTGTAGGCCCGAGGTTATGAATCTCAGCTTTTGGAATAAGCAGTCTTGCCGTCAGTATTCGAGTGGATGGGGACATGTGGATTGTGTAATTTTGGAAGACCGTAGAATCGCGCATTTGCTATTTCTGTGGATCATGCCATAAACCATTCTTTGATGGCGATGACTTTATTCTTCTACAGTCGAGCCGGGGTTCCGTTTACGCCCGCCAGCAGTAATGTAAGACTGACAACGTCGCTGACCTTGTAGAACTCCTGACTGTTCAGCAGGATGTGGAATTTGTTTCTGTCGACCACCTTCTCGAGTAGAAAAGTTGACCAGACTTTTCCAGCAGGCAGAATCACTAAATCGATGTCGCATCTCAGTGCCCGGGAGTCTTATGATCCTTCTCTAGCAGCGGGGGAGTTTTTGGCACGGCATGAGCAGAAGATGGGCAGACGAAATTACCAATCGAGACGTCAGAACTCCAATAAACCTCTCCCAGTGAAAACCTTGCCTACTTTGGCTTTCTCCTCTCTTCAGTCCTTGTCTGATGACACCTAACAGGATTCAGGCAATTCGCTCATCAAAGTCTCCAGAAAAAAAACGAACGCTTTTGTTTCGATCCAATCTAAAGACTGCGATGTAGTATCGCTCGAACGGTCAAACTGGTGCGAATCGAATGTGCTTCACCTACTGAGAAGAGGGTGAACGCACGACCACTGGAACAGTGGGTAGATTGGCCTGCGCCTTCAAACATGTACAGAGATCATGAGACTTCAACAATTATTATACAGGTTTTGTAGTAAAATGGAATAAGGGCGTGGTGGACGGGGTAGAATCCGCAAATTTGCTGAGCTCACACCTTCCGACGGCCGGCGTCCTTGACTGGGGAGTGGGTCGCACCACCTGGCCGCGTGAGCGTACGACGTGATAGCAGGGAAGGGATGCCCTCTAATTGAATCGGTGTCCGAGATCCAACCCTTCAGCATTTTCCACCGCGTCCTTTTGCTGGCTTGCTCCATTATCCACGTGATTTGCGGCATTCGAAGTGGGACTGGCGGCTAGAGACGCGCTCAGCGACCTAATTACCATGTTCGTGAACTCGGCAAGTACTCCGAGGCGAATTGAACAGGGCAGCTGCACTGTCAGTGCATGTGGTGCATAAGCCGGCTGGCACCCAAATTTAGGGGTTGAGGTTATGCAAATTCCATCGGACTGTCCCGCCCGAGAGGACACCACGAAAACCGCTGGCAACATCCAAAGCCTTATTGAGTCGCCAGTAGATAGAATACTTTTTTGCCATGTGCACATTAAAAACAATTATTCTGCTTTGTCTCAATGGCGGACGAAACCTCCTGTTTTGATTCTTTGTGTGGCTCTGCCGGATCTGTTTGCCACTCTGATAAGCCTGCGGGTACTCACACTTCTCAGTTGTACGCTGTCGTCCGCCCGATAACCTGCATAAAACTGTATCTCTCAATTTGTACGACATAAAACTTTTTTGAAATAATATTCATGACGGTACCCTTCTAATTAATATTCGTAATGATGTCCGGCTCATTGTCAGTTTTATTACGCCATCATCGTTTAATTATTCTTCTCTTTCTTCACTGAATGGAAATGTTACTTGTCGAATTTATATATACATGCTGCCACGGCGCTCGACCCACCGTCTTCGTCTCAGACTCCGATCACACATGCAGCCGTAGAGCCACATGGAAAAGAAGACGAGACACATACATCCCAGCAGATGGGATGGATGATGGGACGGCAGATGGGTGCTTGCGGTGGGTGATTTTGATGTGCGGTGACTTGCTGGTGAGGGAGGATGTGATGGTGTAGAGGAGCCGACGGTTGTCTACCTCAGGTTTTCATGGACACGCATGTGGCCTAATCGACCCATACCGTGAATGGATATGAGAGTGCAATGTGGACAGTGGTGGCGGATGCGGCGAGTGTAGGTGGATGCTTTAGGCACTGGTCTGTTAGTCTCTGTGCGATGTATTTGCAAGTGACCGACAAGGCCGATGTGAGAATTTAAGTCCGATCGCATTGAGGGCGGAAGTAGGCCGTGTTCTCTTGCGCGGGAGGCGGCAGTTGGGTGCCTGCGGTGGATGATTTTGATGAGCGGTGAGTTGCTGTTGAGGGAGGACGGAAATAGACCGTGTCCTCATCACTGGTGTTGAAAGTGGTGGCATTGGTGATTGTTGGTGTAGTGTTGATGGGTGTAGCGGACGCCACAGCGGCAGACCTTGAGGCAGCGAAAGAGGAGGAGAAGGAGGAGTCGGGGGAGGAGGGGGAGGAGGAGGAGGAGGAGGAGGAGGAGGAGAAGGAGGAGTAGGAGGAGGAGAAGGAGGAGGATGGAAGTGGTGGTTCGGGAGGGTGATCAACATACACATGTAGCAGTGGAGTCACATGAAAAAAACGTCGAGATGCATACATCCCACTTGCGTGGGAGACGGCAGATGGGTGCTTGCGGTAGGTGATTTTGATGTGCAGTGAGTTACTGTTGAGGGAGTATGTGATGGTGTAGAGGAGCCGACGGTTGTCTACCTCAGGTTTTCATGGACGCGCATGTGGCCTAATTGACCCATGCCGTGAATGGATGTGCGATTGCAATGTGGACAGTGGAGGCGGATGCGATGAGTGTAGGTTGGTGCTCCAGTTCTAGTTTGTTAGTCTCTGGACGATGGATTTGCAAGTGACCGACCAGGCCGATGTGTGAGTTGAAGGTCCGATCGCAATGAGGACGGAAAGAGACCGTGTCCTCATCACTGGTGTTGATGGTGGTGGTATTGGTGTTTGTTAGTTTAGTTTTGATGGTCATTGCGTACGCCACAGCGGCAGACCTTGAGTCAGTGATGAAGGAGGAGGATGGTAGTGGTGGTGCGGGAGGGTAATCAACATTAGTTGACGACTTGGGAGGCGAGCGAGAGGTGAACGGAGCGCAGAAATCTGGTGCGGTCCGGGTACTGCTGTTGGTCCGGAGGCGTCCAACAAGTTTAATTGGTGGCCGGAACTTCCGTTGACATCATCGTCACATTGTAGGCGGTTGAGGATTGGCGTCGTGTGACGGCGGCGACAGTAGCGATTAGCGTGGCTGGCGTCTGGCTTTGCGGCAGTGATGCGGTTGGCCGCGAAGACTGCCGCGCCTATCCTCACTTTTTTTCTCCATGTAGGTCGGTCCTAGGCGAGGTATTTTCAGTTTGTGTGGTTGATCTGCAGGCGCCTCGGGGAGGTTTTCGGAGTATCCTTGTAGCGCCGGACTTCACCTCCTTATCGTAGTGAACCCGTCACGACATCTTTACAGAACGGTCATTTGGATAGCTTCTCGTGATCCATCCATACGAGGTGGCCACTCCAATATGACGGTAGTTGTCTCAGCATAGCGTGAATGCTGAGTATCCCCGTCCGCTTCAGTGTGTCCATGTCTGGGATCCGGTCTTACCACCTGAGCTTCAGTATACGAGGTATACCAGTAAGGTGGAACTGGTTGAGTCTGCGTGCCTGCTTTATGTGCGCTGTCGATGTCTCTACGCCATACAGCAACGTCGGTTGGATGACAACCTTGTACATCTTTAGTTTCGTGCTGAAGACCGCAACGATTGCAAACTGTGTTTTGAAAACGACCGAACGAATTACATGCCTTGGAAATCTGGCGGGCCCTCCTATTCTGATAGTGGCCCTCATCAGTCTACTCCATTCTTACGAAAAAATTCAACGGCGGTGAAATAGTTATTCAATGTATTCTCTGTCCATGTAGCGGGAGCTTTCAAGCAACATTTAACGTGCTTTGTCGCATGCGCCAGTCGTTCTTAAAACGACGTCCATTCCATGATAATTTCATCTGAAATTGCGTGAACAGCGGAGGGGGGAGAGAGGAAGTTGGAAGTTGACAAAGCTTATAGTGCGTTTGCCAAATTTTTCGCCTTGCGTTTCGTATTTGCGAATGCGCTGACAATGACTGTTTATCTGGCACCCATTCAACAGCATGTACAGTCGAATTTACGAGAAATAATTTCGTTAAATGAAAAGTAGCAGAGGAGAGTATTCGACCAGTACCTACAAAAACTTTCTCCACTGAGCCCGCTGTCTGAAGAAAAAATGCAGTGGCCTTAATATAGCAAAACTATTAATTCACCAGATGGTCTACCGAGTTTTAAAAAGTGGAAAAACAATAGTGTATGCTTTGATCAACAGAGACCATTGGGGAGTTCACCAATGCATCCATTGTTAGAATTTTAACAAAAGATGGAACAGTGAGCACACACTGTATCCGCCAATAGGAGTATCTCCGAGTGCACATTTGTTTGGTCTCTCGGCTGATTTACATCAACCGCTTTGTCATCTAGCGGAATAACTGTGTGATAACTAATGAGAATCTGCAGATTTCGCAGTAATTCCCTAAAATGAAGAATCCGCCCACACCCCGTTTCTCGAAAGCTTACAGCAGAACACAAACGACTGATCTTAGAAGGAAGGAATACTCGGGCGTATAAAAGAAAGGCAACCATCATAAGAGTAATAAGAGAATTTATTTTCGTTGAAAACTAGAATTCCTGAAAATGATTTTATTTTAAATCACTTGAGTAAGGCTTACTATAGGGGTGCATAATGAAGGAGGATGGATCAAAAGAAAAGGATAATAAGGAAAACAAAAATCAGTACTTTATTGATTGTCAGTTTCCATTTAACACAACAAAACGTATATCAGACATGCAGAAAGCTAGACTGTCTTGAATGGACCGTGCATGCACCCAACCAAGCTTGTCTTGCATTGACCTAGTTCGCTTTGTCGGAATTTAAATCGATCGGTCGGAGCCCATGCTCAGGAAGACTGCCTGTTGTCTAGAAAGTAAGATAACAGTGGCGTGCGTTATCAGATTAATACCTCCATAAAGTGATAAACAGGATTATTATCGAGTAAAATTATAGTACCCATTCGATGTCGGTGGAGGTCGTTGCAATCAGAAGCATCCTTTACAGTATCGATGAACACCTTGCTGTTGTTGGTGTGCATAGTCGACCTCCAGGCAGACTGCTATCTGAATTTGATAGCTATCCAAGTCATCGACTCCGACAGTTCTTCAAGATATCTGTCGGTAAGGTGCTCTGTTGGAAAGTTTTCACAAGGTTTGACTATCTAAAATCAGAGATTATAGCAGAAATCGATGAGGGTCTCTAATCAATATACTTCTTAATAAATAAAAAACGTCTTCTGCTAAGAGTTTTACTTAAAAATGATTTGGTCATGGTCGCTCACTGATGAAGTTCAAAGGCCTACGACCCTTTGATAATGTCGTTCGATGGCAGTGATCTCACTGGGCATCTAATGCTATTTTTGGTGCGTGACAAATAAAATCCTCCTCCCGGTTGCTTGTGGACAGTTTCGACCCAACCGGCTTGTTTATAGGTACGTTTCTGCAACTACAGAGTGAACTTTCTAATATTACTATTCCTGCTACCGTCTCTCTGCGATATTTCCGCTGCCAATGTACGTATCCGTTCATATGCGACTGTAAACGAAAACAGTTTAGGCCTCTGTATCGCACAGCGTGACACACACACATGTGGCAGCATGTCATGGGTACTCAAAATATATTTAGTTACGTTTAGTAATTCTCGGTGACGTAATACAAGCTACTGCCAATAGAAGCGAAGAGACGGATCCCAGGATGCAGTCGTGAAGAAGGAGACACGATCGCTGTCCCAGCGGTACACTTCCTCGACTTGATACTCAATGAGCATCATGATCATTGAATGAAACCAGCTGCCAGCCACGGACCAAAAAACTAATTTTATTAATTTTGTAAGCCTGGGTACAAGGATCCTGGGTTTTTCATATTGACCCAACTCCGAAAAACTTGGCGCCTCGGTGAGATTCCAAACCACGCAGCAAAGGAAAGGCTTTGGTACAGCCAACGCTCTAACCACTTGAGCTACGGAGCACCGCCTGACATCTTTGAATAACGTGAACGCGGTAGTCATCTGGTGGATTCTAGGTGAATTACTTAGGAAATTCTGCTTGGACAGTCGGCTTACTGTATCATATTTGGTGGATTGCAGACGTTGCAGTAGGTTGGGTGAGTAACTTGACCCAAGTGTAATTAAACTCCCGTCGTCTGGCGGAGCCTCGTATCTCAAGTGGTTAGAGCGTTGGCTGTCCTAAAGCATACCCCTTTCTGCGTGATTTCGAATCCCACCGAGTCGCTTAGGTTTTCATAGTTGGGTCAGTATGAATTATTTCAAATTTGCCAAAACATATATGGACCCTGGGTTGGTTGATGACCCCGCATTCGCGTAGCTCTAGAGTTAACTGGCTGTCGAGAGGAGGCACAGATTGTTTATTTCAGTACAATCAAACTCCGCATTTGCGCTCAGGTGACAATCACAAAATTCAGCGCTGCAAAATTTCAAACCTTTTGACATTTATGCCTATCTATTAAATCGATTGATGGTTGTATAAGGCAGGCTTCAAAAGACTGTTTCTTCCAGCTCGAAATTTGCTAGCGGCTCTACATGTATCATATGTCATTTCCAAGGCTTTTAAAAATCTAATCTGTCCTTTTTTCTGTTTGTGGTAACACAAAGGACCTCCTACATGTCCTCTCTTCTCCTCATCTTCGCTATCATGGAGGGCGTCGCATCATTTGTGCTTCCTATTATCGATGTTTTTGGACCGCCCAAGCATGTGGAACACAGGTTTTTTTTCGAGGCAAGTGTCTTTACTCCCCAATGATTTGTCATGATTTTGTTTCACCTCTGAATTACGCGAGTCATCTGATGGATTCTAGATGGATTACGTAGGAAATCCTGCTTGGGCAGTTAGCTTACTGTATCAGATTTGGACGATTCCAGACGTTGCATTAGGTTGGGCGGGTAAACTTGACCCGAATGTGATGAAACTTGCGTCGCCCGTTAGACCCTCGTGGCTGAGATGGCTCGAGCGTTGGCTGTCCTAAAGCCTCCCCTGATCTCGTGGGTTCACATCCCACAAGGGCACCGAGTTTTTGACAGTTGGGTTAAAGTGAATTATGTTTCAGCGACACCCATATCCACAACCACATGCAGTTCAGGGATGTGATTGGCGCAATTGGTACCCACATGGAATGTATAAGGAGTTTGCACTGTAAAGACTTATTTGTAGGTACTCCGCAGTAGCTTGGTTTCTCGGTACGGAGGAAAAAGAATATAGATGGCGGGAACAAACAAGTTTATCCTTCCGAGCTTTCGGAGTTTTCACACGAATCCAACCTCAGAAACAGTCACAGATGGTGAGAATAATGGCGGCATAATGGCTTAGGCATTGATAGTACACGACTGCATGCAACCATTATTGCCAGCTCTCGCCTTCGTCGTTGGGGCTCGTACTCGATGCGATAATAGCTTAATAATACGTATCGGAGCAGCTAATTGCCGTAGATTCTTGTCGTTGCTGATTC